CACAGGTATAGAGCTGTAGGATAGCATATGCTTCCATGGATTACTGGAGGCATGCGGGTGTTTGAGGGACGGGAAGGGGGGTAGGATATTCTCTCTCCAGGCATGTGCTTGCAGTGTAACCTGAGAGTTCTCCTTGTCTGCCCTGCAAAGCTCTGGCTTGGATCCACAACAATCAACTAACAATGCCCTCCGCCAGGCTCCTCATGGGTCCTACTGCCAGCACACAGCACCTCTCACACTGGTGTTCATGACTGAACTAAATCTAGATGGAAGCAGTATGAGAACACTGAAAAAATGACAAGCAGTTTCAGTTTTTTACTTTATCATTCAAAGTCCCCCTATGGATTTAAAAATCAAGCTTTTAAATGTTGTTCATACGTCTTTGTGGTGGTTTTAATATGCTTTAAGTCAAACCATGAGCAAATTTGTCAACACCATTGCATAGTATTTTCTCCTTTAAAACTGCAATGATCCAAAGACGGTCTCAAAAAAGCTGTTTGAAATCGCTGGCGTTTGTTACTGAAGAACGTTTTTTTGTTTCGTTTTTTTCATTTTGGGTTTGATATGTCAGTATTAATAAATCAGTTAAAAACATGGAACAAACACTGGTAAAATTTAATTTTAGCCACATACAAGTGACAAATGAAATACTGTTTACAAAACACGGTTTAGTTTGACTGGACGCCCTGCCACTGACGTCAAAAACAAAAAAATAAGGCAAGCTTTTTCTCCTCCATTTTAAAAGCTGAAAAGCCTGTTTATTTGGCTAAATATGCATGACTGTATGGTTAATCTGCATTTTTAGGTGTTTCAGCTGAAAATCTAGCTGAAGTGCTGGAAAACCTATTGTAATTGCTACGATTTTTTGGGAAAAAAAAAAATCCCCTAAAAGGCATCGTGCAGACCAAACCGTAAAGCCTAGAGACTTGAAACCTGGCCAGATGGTAGGGCCTCAAATTGGGGAGAACCTATCAGAGTATGAACCCGATTGGCCCATAGGTGGCCAACAGCAACCAAAAGTACTAAACTGCACATAACTCCAAGATGGTTTGACTTAGCCTCAAGGTTTTTGCACCATTGTGATCCTTGGCTCAAGGCGGACAAAATGTATATCTCCGCTTTGTTTTTTTTTAAATGTTCCACTATGTCGAATTTTGTCCAAAACCTGTGGTGCTATCCACAAGTTTCCTACGCCCCATGAGGCCTTGCGTCAAAAGTGGGCGCGACTTCCGGTTGGAAGTAAACAAAGCGCTATTTGACATGCTTGACACTCGTTCATTCAACAGTTGACAGTCATTCAAGTTATAGCGATCCACACTAGCTAACGATGTGGGAACACAACCTCAACGAAATTCAAAAGGGTGAAATAACAGTACCTTTACCTCCGCAGTAGTTGATTGGCAGTATTATAATAACATTATTAATAATCAATACTCATCAAGGCATGGTGACAGACAGTTGTGCGAGCTGACAAACAATTAAAATAAAAAATGCACACTTAGTCATTGTGCTTTGGAGTTTATTCAAAATTATAAATGAATGTGCTGCTTGAATACATTAACTGGCACATTTGGTATTCTGTCAACACAGGCTTTGATCCTGAGTTTAGCTGTAACATCAGTAAAGAACAGCCAAACACATGCTGATAGAGTTTATAGAACATTAAGAATTTAAACAAATGTACACAGGAAGATTCGTCGTCTTTTGGGAGGTGATGGAAACTACAGTCGTTGACAGGATCACTCTGATTTCGTTTTCAGCTTATGTTCAAAACAATCCCGTTTAAGCCACTAAATTAGTTTAGTCCGGCTATACATACAACCATAGCGAACAGCACATGTTGTCCCTGAGCTCCGTAACGACATCTCTCATAAAGATTTGCGTCTTTAAATAGTAAAATAATTCTCCGAAAAACAGCTAGCCTCTTCGCTAACTAACACACAAAATACCATTGGAATGCTACTTCCGCCGCGTCACCGGAAGTTTCACCCACTTTATTTTTTACAGGAGCGCCCCTCGGAAACTTGTGGATACATAAAACGTAATGTCTCAAATGTCTTTTGATGCTTTTGTGCTTTAAGGCCTTAACTGCTTGAACACCGCTAAATGCTGCTTGCAGCTTTAATATTTTTTTGCATTTACTATTGATTTCCATATGCTGGAGTGACAGTTAGAGATGATCCAACCAACAGTCATGGTAAAGCAAACACTATGTGATGACTAGCAGAGATTAGTGTAGCCTGACTCTAGTACCTAGTACTCATATTGACATAGTTGCAACATTGTTGAGGCACTAAAAATAAAGTCAAGAAAAGTTTGTTTTTTTTACTTCTGTAATGCTCTGCTGACTCATCTAATCATTTACTCAAATAATTCATTCAAAACACTGATTCATTCCGAAGTGACTCTTTATGAGTGAGTCAACAAGTCATTCACTCAACTGATTTGGTCAAAAATCATTAAGAAGCAACATTTATTTAGCCTTTGTTCTATTTTGAACTAATTTCGTTTGTAGATGAAAATTACGGCATTTATAGACAGACAGATATTGTGTTTAAAAATGTAAGTGAAGCCATATCTCATGCAATCGTGTTGTTGGTCTGAGCCACTGATATTCAGAAAAACGGCACTCTTGCACTTGTGATATTGCTTATGTGAGATAAATACACATGGCTGTCCTTTTGCCATTCTTCTTGCTTGTGACATCCATAGCATTTGCTTTAGTGTTCTGAAACCATTCGGCTTGTGTTGTGCTCTTTCCTATTCTATAAAGGTAACAGGTACTTGACCAAACAACCCCCTCTGCCAACAGCTTCATCTTTGCTAAGAAACACCTGATATATTTGACTAACTCTTATCTCTCTCTCTCTCAGTCTCTTTCTCACACTCTCCCAAATCTCTGTTTCTCTCTTCCAGCTCCTCCCCACCCCCATCACTAACAACTTTTGGTCTCCTCTCCCTCCCAGCTGTTGCCCTTGTTTGTCTTTCCCTTTCCCCCTGGGCTCAGAGTTTCCTGTAGGGCTGTGCAGCCTCATCTCAGCCGTTTCTTAGAATCTCCAGCACTACTTCTCAAATCTGTGCACTTTCTTTCTAAACCAACTTAAATAGATGAGCCCTTTGTACTAAAATGGAATGTCTACTTCAATAAAGCTTAAGAAGTTGCGTCATATTTTTATTGCCCAACAGAAATCACATCAAATTGGGCATCAAAGATATTGAGTTGCTTACTTTTGCTCTGGCAATAGGAAACAAAAACAAAAAAGAGAAAAACTTTCCATAATAAACTAGTTATAGTATTATTTAATATTTTTGAATGACTTATTTTTAAATTTAAAGTTTTTACATTTTAATTTTAGTCATTTTGCTATGTGCTTTTGTCATTTTTAGATGTTTTATATATTTCTGATAAGCTTTATTTCACTTAAAGGAGCATTGCGTAAGTTCTGAAATATCTTACCGTTACTGACACCAGTGGCCGTTAGAGAAACTGCAGCCAGTCTCATGCTCGTTCTTGATAAGGGTTTTTTTAACTTACGAGGAGTTTCCGTGGGTATCTGGATTGTGCTGGAGGCTGGTCGCTTCTTTCCATCCCCAGAGTCCATTTGAAACACTACTGCTAGCGATTGCCACTGCTTACTAATGGCTGCCGTACGGATGTAAGCCCAAGCATGACGTCACATTTTGTGAATTTTCACGCCAATTCGGACCCGACTCCTCCACACACAACTGAGCCTCCAGGCTGATAGAGGAAACCGTGGTGGACAGTGAAGGTGTCATTCTTTTTATTATATTGTGGTAGGCTCAGAAATGTACAAAGGAAGACTCTATCTTAAAGATTTTTTACAGTAAAAACCTACACATAGCCCCTTTAAGTTTTAGCCATTTCAGTTTAAACTTATTTCAGTTAGTTTTCAAACCAACATTTCAAAGTTTTTTTTAACTTGAAGTGTTTGATCATTTTTATATTTATCAATATTTATTTTTTATTTTATTTGACCAAAAATATTTTTTTTCAATAGTTTTAGTTAACAATTATATTACACTGCATTGCAGTTTACCAACATATTTACAAATACATAATACAAATATCACAAAAAAGCCTATTTTTTTTATTGCTGTCTTAACTTAAGTAGAAACAAACCATTTTAAATGTACTTAGTCATAAAGAAAATCAAATCAACCCCCTAAAACACAAAATTAGTAGTAATGTAGTAATGACAGAAAGTATTTAGTATTTCTGTGTTATTAAATGGATAAAAAAAAAAAAAATTTGTGCATACTTCGGAACATCAGGTGGTAGAAGCAAAAGCAATGATCTCTCTTCAAACTCTTCCTTGCTTTTATCAACCCTAAAAGGAAGTGAGGCGCAGGCAGGGAAAAAGGCAAGGCGAGGGAACCGTAATGCCTAGCTGTTGGAAAGACTGCAGTCGGTCAACAAAAAAGAGCTTTGTTTGAAACCCAAACCTCTGTTGAGTTTGTGTCATTACATTCCACCAAAATGACCTCTGACGCGAAAGCAAGGATCTAATGTGAAAAAGTGAGATGAGATTTATTTCAAAAGATGAATTCCCAAACTACCAACAAGACACATGGAATGAAAACCAATCCCAAGATGAAAAACCAGCATCCTTTCAGGCGTTGCACCAAAATGTTATAAAAATAAATGTCAAAAACTTTTCATGACTAGAAATGTGTGATTTACACAGCATCTACTAAATCAAGATGATGCACAAGGCTATCCAAAAACACTTTTAAGTCATTCGCATTCATTTCAACATGATCTGCCAGCATTGCATTTCTAACCTTCTTGTGAAGGGTCAAACCAGGACGCTCAAACTCTCCCACACACCACTGTTTTTCAATGCATTTTCTGGACTTATTATACTCTGAGCTCCTCTTCAACTGCTTATTATGAACCTGACCTGACCTTACTTGCCTTCACCATACCTAATCCCGAATTAATTTTCAAGAAGAAACAAGGATCGCTAAAGGACACTCACGGTTGACAGAGTTTGACAAGGTCCTGGTCTGTGGTTCCTGGATGGAGACCACGGATGTACAGGTTGGTTTTACTCAGCTGGTCTCCAGCAATGCTGCTTCCATTACTGCTGGTGGTGGTGTTGGGACTGGGTGGTGCCATCTGCTGGGTGGAGGATGCATACGCCTGCTGTGAGATAAGATAAAATACAACGCTATTAGATTACAATTCCAAAGAGCTTTCCTTTAGTTTTCATATGAAAGTGTTATAATTTCCCCTGTGACTTTTAAGGAAGTAGTGAGTCATTTTCATATTCTTCTTCTAATCATTAGTGACTCAGTTTTGCCATGCAAAGCAAAACACTGCAATATCAAAATGGCGCTATAGATTAACAGGAATATTTCCCCACATAATTAACCTTTAAAGAATTAAAAGAAAAAGACCACACCTTTAAGAAAACGATATAATTTCAAACCCATATGCTTTTCATGCAACACAAAATGAAAGATTTAATGCTTTTCCATGCAACAAAAATCATTCATAGTAACAAAAATAGTCGATTTCACAAACTGATTCAAGTAGTTCATTAAAGTTAACTGGCTGCATCTGAAATCCCATACTTCCCTACTACAGTACAAGTAGGTGAATAACATTATGTGCCAAATGAAATTTGTCTGAATTCACAGTACTCCTAAAAGTGGGATAGGATTTGTGAATGTTAATGTTGTTGTCACATGATAATGACAGCATAGAAAATGTATACATCCAGATTACATTCATGCTATGACATTCACACTATATAGAACATACTTTTTTGGTACTGTAGGTGTAAAGTAATTATTTATTCAAAATAAATTCTCTAGAGAGTATGCGATTTCAGACGCAGCCCAAGTCTCATAAGATCAGTTCATTCACGAATCCAAGTCAGTGATTTGGTTCTCAAGTTAAAGCTATCGTAAGGCTCCAGCAGACTAGAGGTGCGTTCCATTCGACAGGGTCCCTACGCAGTGTTCACTGCTCCCTACTCCCTGAACACGGTATATCAGTTGAAGTGGACTTCACTGACTTCCTGTGAAGTGATGTATTGATGTCCCCTTATTCCCTATGCCGTTTGCAGTGCCCTTCGAACTGAACAAGTTCGTTTCGTTCAAATTGGAATCTCACTTAAGATGGCGAAATACCCTGTGAAGTCCACTTCGCAGTCCACTTATGGTCGAATGGAACGCACCTTAGGAATATAATAAAAGAATGGTGTACGGTTTTGTAACGACAAAACCACAATGAGGATGAGTAAATAAAGACAGAATGATCCTTTTTAGGTGAACTATTCCTTTAAAAATGTTATTTTGTTCACAAAAACAAGCAGAATCCGAAAAAAAGAACATGCCTCGGATTGTTGTCGTCCAAAGCCTGGGGCTTTCCCTCTCCTGAGAGGTTCTGTTAGTTTTCTAATTAACTCCTCATCAGTCAGAGGGGCAGGCAAAGATGAAGTATTTCATTAGTCAAGCCTGTGAAATTAAATCTCAGACAGGGAACAATGGGCCAGTTTAATACATGCCTCAAGTTCACTGGTTTGGCTGAGATTGTTGGCAAAAAGGGGAGAGGGGCACATTCAGAAGTGCCCGCACAAACACTATGTCATATATAGGCCTCTTGTCTTTAGCTCTCCTCTTGAGCCGGTTGAACTTAGTTCTAGAAGCCTGTCTAATTGAGATCTGAGCTTGTTAGCGTTGAGCGCTAATCCCTCTCATGTGCTGTGTGCAGTCAGAAAGCACTGTCTCATTAAGACCGCTCTACTCGGCTAACTCTGCCTCTGCCTGGGAAAACAGATGACTGAACCACTGCCCCCCACTAAGCCCATCTGCCCTGCAACGCTGTTCAAGGTTGAGCAGTGCCGCACACCTAACAACACTCGTCTTCCCCACACAAACACTACACTACATGCTAAAAATAACAGACTCCCTTCATGACATATATCCAGCTAGACGTGTTGTTCAAATCAAGCCATATTACTTGTTCCATTTTCTTACCTAAAAAAATCGGGTTATTTTAAGATACACGTTTATATGTGCATTTTCTTTTTATTAGATCATTTCTATATAACAACCCTTCCCCTAAAAGGAAACTTTATTCGTTTTTTATCCTCCTTAACATTTTTAGATGTAAAAATCACACACACAAACAGACGCTGAAGATTTAGAGTTGCCATTATTTATATTAGAAAATTGTCACTTAAAATACCCCATTAAATTGTACTTTCGTTGACAATTAACAACGTTACAAAAATACGTGTATCACGGGTCATTTTATGCTTGCATTCCGAGAAGGAAAAGTAAGCTGTGCATTTTAAAAGGGCTTGTTTAACTCTATTTGCATGCCTTGTATACCTCTCATGACTTCTCATTACCCATATGGACTCTACACAAACAGCTCCCATTCAACTACATGGTAAACCTACAGCTTTAATTCTTGTTCATGCAAAGCATGTGATATATTAGGTGAAGACATTCCTCCGAGTCCACAACCGTGCTGACAGTGATTCATGCATCAAGACCATCCTCACATGCTCCATCTGCTGCGACTGCTCCGTTTGCTTCAGATTGTACCTGAATGCAGAACAAATCCTTGTCAACAACTAATCAATACAGCAAACCTGCCCTTGAATATCTCAGTTGGACTATAATGAAACCCAAGAGTTTTCCCTTATTTGCACTTGAAGACAGCACTGCAGTGGAAGCGCTTCTTCATTTCCATAGATATGCGCAGTGTGGTAATGAGAGCGTGGCGGGGTTTGCACCTCTCTTGATTACTCCATTGCAGTGCCACTAGGGCAGACTCTTGGGAAGGCTTGCAGAAATAGAGGTCACAGGAGGGAGTGAGCAGCTCGGAAGGGTTAGCATTAGCAGGGGATCTGGCTCTAAAGCGCTGGTACCAGGTGTGACTGTGAATGGAAATAAATGGTCTGTCTACCACTCCAACCTGCATAGGTTACAGTATTATGATGATGTAGTTTTGGTTTGGTGGGGAATATGGACATTTAATGACCTACCAACACACATTGCAGCATAACGCCGTCTGCAGTAGCAAATTATTTCATTTTATATGTGGTTATTGTATTGCAGTCTAATGATTGTACTTTGGTTTAATATTTTTGAGATTAATAAAACAAAATAAAAGGTACATTTATATTTTTTGGTTTTCAATTTCTAAAAATACATAATAATATCATATATACAGTAGTGGCAAAAGTGATGTCCGGCCTGGGAAAATTGACTAATTAAATTAAATATCAGCATATTGCAATTGTAAATAAATGAATATCAGCATATTGCAATTGTAAATAAATATCAGCATATTGCAATTGTAAATAAATAAATATCAGCATATTGCAATTGTGCTTGAAGTCAATTTTTTTTATTTGTGATAACGCTGTGAAACATGACAAATTTTGTCCAGGCTGTCAAACAAAGAAATTATGAATACATGTAATAGTAAGAGAGAATGGTAAAACAAAACCTGTAGCTGTAATTTACCCCTTTTTTGCCAAATAATTTAACAAGGTGTTTTTTTTGTTCTTCCCTCACATTTAAAATAATTAAAAATATAATATAATTTCCCATTTTTGATGGTTTAATCCTGTCGGGTTATTAAAAACACATACACAAACCATTCCCTTTACGGACATTACTTTTAGACACTACTATTGGTGTAATGCAATATGTCATTTTTTTATTTTTAGTGTATAGTAAGTAAAATTACTCTGTAGTTTGGGAAATTACATATTATAGTCTGGATTATGATTGAATAGAAATATTCAAAAGTGTGTTGGCCTAATGATACAGTACATAATGTTTCAAAAATAAACTAAAGATAAAAGTAACTTAGATTACTGATCTATTGGCATAAGAATATTGATACGGTATTGTAAGGTTAAATAAAAATACATTTTTGTCCCTCAATCCCATTTCCCAGAGATATGAATAGAGACATGGTTTCTAAATCACATATATTGTGATTCGTGTCAATTATACAATTTTTCACCTAAATATGCTTTGAAAATCCCTCAGTTCTCCACCCTTTTCAAGCTACACTCACAAATCAGGATTACATCTTGTATTACAATTTTCTCGCCCTCTCTGTCTGCATATCTTTTGTTTTGGATAAAAAAATGTCAGAATATCACATTTGGTAAGAAAGAAATAGCAAATAACTTAAACCACAACTAGTAACCCTGGATCCCTGCAATGTTTGAGATGGGAATTCCAGGAATTCTAGGTCATTTATCTGAGCAATCAGCATCCCTGCCAAGAGTACGGGAAGGAGGGGAATGACTCTCCGTCTAGGCTGCTTGGTTTTCAAAACTGTGTCTTTCAGCAGCGAACCATCCCGAGAAGCAGAATTTCTAAGTGCGTGCGTGCAAGTGAACACACATTTCTGTGTCGGTACCAAGAGAAACAGTCCCCGGGAATCGACATGTATTACTGAACGATTCAAATATTTTTGTAGAATCACACCAACATTTTCACAATTTAAAACTTTACAAAGGTTCAAATTCAAAGTTTCCAATTTAGTGTTTATTATTAGTACTTTAAATTGTAAAGTGTTGAAATGTTGTCATAAATCATTACTATTGGTCACCTTTTACATCTGTTTTTGGGTTTTGCTCATATTTAACCAATAAAAAGTATTAAAAGGGCTTGTGACTAAAACTTTCAATTCCATTGGACCCTCAAACTGTCTATAAACCTCTATCGTGAATGCAGTGCTGCATGAATTTTGGAACGTCTCTGCTTGTTTTGCAAGGGTAAATGAAGAACTAGTTTTTTAAACAAGTGCAGCATTTTCTCTAGTCAAGAAACAATGTGTATATATAAATGCTAATATCTATGTGTTTGAGAAGAAGCGGAGTGTCTAAATCTAGCATTTCTCATCAATTCAAACTGTCTTAAATAGCCTGTAGCACTTTATCTTTAATAACATGAGACTTTGGCCAAATGGTGCCAGATAACCACAGTAAAACAACCCATAAGTTGATAAAAACATAATGCGATGCAACTACCCCGAATACGGACGTTCTAATGATGGACAAAACATGTATGTCCGACATTTACTGGTCAAAAACCTAAATTTGGTAAAATTATAATATAATGAGTGTCTGACCACATATAAAGCCACGATATCTATTTTGACAACACAGTTTCATCATTATTTAAAAAAAATCCAGTGATTTGTTTTCCATTTCCTGAAAAATTGTGTTTTTGGAGATCCACCCAACAGCAAAGAATCTCTTTTTGCCGCCACAGTCTGATCTCATTGTTCCTCACTATGTTCAATAAAAGTCGCTTAACTGAACATTCAAAAATGAGTGGTTCGCCTAAAAGCCTTTGCCATTACCTGAAAGGTCACAGAATATTCGGAAGACTCTAATGAGCTTCATATATTCATATTGTGCAAAATGATTTTTTGCAACATTTCGCCATCCCACAGAGTGTCATTTTCCAGCGGATTTTCTTCCACCAGAGCTGACAGGGATTCTGTGAGTCAGTGCAGCAGTGCTTAGCAGACCTGCAGGGCTTAGGAAGCCTATCTAAGTTTGGGGCACTTAAGGAGGAAATTAGAGACCAGTGGCTGCACACTCACACTATCCAAAAACTCTGGAAATATGAATGTCCTTGATAACTCAAAGGCAATTAGACTGTGGAAATAATGATTTTCTGCAGAGCTTATTCACATCAAGCACATTGAACACGAGTGAAGTTTGTTTTATTAAATTATGTATCTTGTATTAAAGTAGGCGATGTTGCATTTACAAAATTCTAAATTTCTAAATAAAAAAAATTCTAAAAACCCTAATTGAATTCACCAAAAATCACTCTACATCCAAAAATAAAAAGAAATACAAATTGCATAAACTGTGAATATTATTAATAGTATTGTAAGTTTTTTTTTACATTTTAAACAGAAGAAGTGTGGAAAGGTGCTTGTTCTGTGTACTTTCCTGAAGGCGCTAGCAACGCTAAGATCTTGGTTTAAATTTCCAGCAAACTGAACATGCATGAACATATAAAATTTTACAGTTCAGATAAAAGAGTCTACCAAATGCATAAATGTAAATATAAATACCCTTAGAGATAAATTACATACCAAAATTAATTTTAAAAAAACAACAACTTTTATTTCAGGTATATGCAGAAGCCTTATTTAACGATTTCAAATTGACCCGCAAACATCACAATCTTAATAGATCATTTGTATGCCCCTTCCACAACAAAGTGAGGGTCGACACTTTGCAGGCATGTCCAGGAAAGTCACAAAATTTCAAGACAAGCATTAAAGCTTAACCAGTATTTCAGACAAATCGGAAAATCTAAATTTGACCCACATGCGAATGACCAGAGTGCATTTGATTAGCTTTTTCGTTCCGTTCGTTGTATGAACAGACCTCTCAATGACAACACTGCAGTATCACTGCAGAGATCCTGTTTGGTAGTTTTACCCACACATGACAGTCATTCTCCCTCTGCATTTTTACATAGCTACAGCAAAAATCAATATAGAGGGCTCCCTCAGCTTCACTGCAACACATTCCAAGTGGGACCTCACGGGGCTGAAATTGTTGTCCAAACTGAACTTGTCATCCTCCTTTTTGGCTCACACTGGCAGCAACAACAGCCTTTCGAACTCAACTGATAGGGCTGCCTCAAGGCTTTTGGCCAATAGCCCCTACTCAAACCCCATCCAGTCCATTCCAGCAGGTGAAGAGGCAATCTGATTCTAACATCACCAGGTTATTTTTCCATTGCAAGCAGATGCCCTGAATTAAATTCTGCCAAAAACTGCTATCATCCCTGGAGTGATACATAGCATAATATCTATATATTCAATGCCAACATAGAGCCTTTCAGTGATGTCTCTTTATGGCCAAGGGACATGGAGCTCACCTGCCCAACACAGCTTCTTTCTTTCTACACTTCCTCCCCCAGCACGCTGTAACCACGACCTGCTGTGCGAGTTATTGAGTAGAGATGCACCATGGGATCGGACACCTGCCTGCTCAGCGGCTGAGCTGATGGCAGTCAGTCAGTTCATGGTTTTCTAGAGCAACACTTATAAGTGTTTATTTTGAAAAAATTAGTCCACGGTTAGCTCTAATAACAAAATGACAATGGGGTCAAAGTCTTTGGTTAAATATGTCGTGAATATCCATTGCATGGTCTTCTCTTATTTCTTCATAAACGGGAAGGTAATATAAAATCAGTGAGCCGGGTCGAACAACTACTTGCATCTATGCGTTCTTGGATTCTGTCGTGAACATGGGCGTGAAGCTGAAATAACATTTAGAGAGCCAAGCTGGATCAGATCACTGGGTGTATGCTTATGACACTGTTAATGAGTAGATATAGACCATCATACTCAATATCACCTTCAAAAGAACTGCTTCCCATTCATCTACTCTCCTTGGTAAAAGGTTATCAGGCAATAATTCATAAAATCATCAACACGTTAATAGTATTTCTTTCCTTTGTGCTGTCCTTTTATACATCTATGATAATGACCTTGTTATTAAAGATTGCAGAAGATAAAGATGGAGTCCTTTAAATATAGCTGCAAGCAAGCACACTTAAATTACTCATTATGTTTAAAGTCATAGACAACTAAATGCATGTATGAACTGAATTGCAGAGAATCATCGGTGTGTGTCAAGTGGAGTTTGACTGGTTTAACCAAAATTTCTTACATTTTTTGTATTAGTTAATTTATCAGGTCTTCAGAATCACTCTACTGATAAGTGTTACAGTTTGGTGGGTCTCAGAATAGTATACACTAGTAGTAACAGAATGGCATTGCATCACTGTGGGTTCAGCAGAAAACAACAACAGTGTTCAAAGGTAAAGTAGCTTACTTTTATGTACAGTATAGCATTCAACAATGAGCAAAAAAGGTGTTTTACTAAACTAGATAAAAAAACTTAAAGACAATAGTATTTAAAAATATTATTAATAATATATTCATAATGTATGTTGTTGTTTTTTATTGATTAGAATAATTATTTGTGTCTAAAATAAATTTTTTATCAAAAATCGTTTCTGAATATGAGGACACTTAATCATAAAAACAATCAATAGGCCTACCATATCGGTCATAAATTGTTTTGATAATATTCGTTTTTTCTAATAACTCACTGCACCACGCAACATAACCATCTTAGCCCACCTTATGTTGTACATGCGTTCATTTTGACAAAACTGCGTCATTAATATGTTAAAAAAAAAGCTTTTCCACTCCCCTTTACTCTAACCTTGTCACTCTCTCCGAAAACAAATAGCCGATAATTCAAAGGCATCCTTATGACTCGGATCCATTGACTTTCTGTCTCTGCAAAGTCAATCCGAAACCTGTTTCCCGTCATAGTAGTGGGATTTATAGGGGTGGGGCGAATGACTCAACGTAAAACTTAAGTTAAACTAATTTTCTCTCCCCCCCTCAAACCATTTTCCTCGAGAATCTCAAATAATTGTCCGATACTGATTTATTGCAACGAATCCATAATCATCGTGTCCCGACTCCCTATAAATAAGTAGCTATCCGTGAACATTTCGGACCGCAAGTTCAGTCTGTGACTTCTCGGCCAGCCAATAGAGTAGATCAATCTACATTAAGATGCCCGCTTTCAATACACCCTCACTTTATTATCTTACTCAACAGCGGTATATTATTCGGCACGAACGCGCGATGATACGCTTCAATATTTTCACGGTTCCACTTTCAAGGACACTGCAGCTCACACTCATGCAATTACACACACAACAGAGAGATAAGCGACATAAATGAGCGTTTTCCACCGGCCTGAACGTCTGACGCCAACGCATTGGAATTGGATTTACCTTTTTACTGGTTCTGCTGGTATAGCCGTTATATGGGTTGATTCCTGTCCTTGGCGGCACAGAGAGCAGCATTTTTACAGCAGCAGCAGCAGCAGCGCTGTGTCCGGAGCGCCTAGTGCAGCCAAAACACTCCGCTGACGTCACCGGGGACATTCATCCTGCTGGAGTCTGTGGAAGAGATCGAGTCACACACACACACACACACACACACACACACACACACACTCTCTCTCTTCTCTCTCTCTCTCTCTCTCTCTCTCTCTCTCTCTCTCTCTCTCTCTCTCTCTCTCTCTCTCTCTCTGCTGTTCAGCACACAGGAAGAAGAAAAAAACATTAATAGCAAGGCTATCTCTCTTATGACTAATAAGAGTTCTGATTTCATATTAGCTTTTTTAATCCTAATGGGGAAAATCAACTAAAATAGCCCACCTCGTGCTTGGGAACCTTTGCCGAATGTTCCCTGCTGCACAAATTCTAGCATTAAATATATTTACTGGCATAGTTATGCACATCTGGGAACAGCTAGATATTTAGGCAATACACTCTTTCATTGGGGTTCTATATATGAAGCATATAGGGTTCTTTACTCAACTCCAAAGAACCTATAATGCTAAAAGATTCTATAATGACAAGAAAGAACCCTTTTGGCACAAAGGTATATAGGCTATTATTCATTCATATATTACACTATTATAACATTTTGTAGTTGTAATTAAATTATTGTTTATTAAACTGTTGTAGTAACTTAATATCACATTTTAATCATGCTGATTTTTGGAGGAGAAAAACTGAAATGGCACTCTTCGTGTGATATTGATTAACTATATAAAATTGTAAATATATATATATTTTCTAACCCCCATATCTTGAATTTTGTGATCATTCACATGCATTCATAAATACATTTTAGGGTCTTGATGTTTGTCAATAATATGAAATATTTAATCCGGAAAAGACAAAACAAATGATAATGAATGAACCCAAAAGGTTCCATATAGAACCTTTTTCCTGGTAACAAAGAACCCTAAAGGGTTCTTATTATTGAACCCTTAAAAAGGGTTCTGTTTAGAACCTTTTAGGGGTTACAAATACGTAGCGCTGATAGAACCTTTTCTTCTAAGAGTGTATGGTAATGTAAATTCACATGTATTGTGACACTCAGTAAAAGCGATTTTACCGAGTTAAAATCTTTGTAAGTTTAGGCTATATTTGTGTAAGCGATTGGTGCCTCCACAGGGGTGCAGTGAACTCTAAAAATGAAAAAAAAAAAAAAAAATAGCCTACGTTAGGCTTAATGGGATAATATATGTGATTTTCATTTTGATTTGTGAAAGGAAAAATATTGTTAAGTCTCATGGCAAAACTATTTAACGTTTTTGGCAAATTGGTGACTAATTCTGCAAATTTGGTGACTAATTCTGTAATTGAATTTTAAAATCTCTTTCATATGTTTTCAAGAGATTTTGTATGATTCACCATGTACAAATTGGTGTATGGTGTACAAATTGCCATAGTTTATCTAAGAACAGGGTGGTTAAGTTATATTTAAAACAATTATCTTTTAATTTTGTGGAAAAACAGTACAAGAGTGTTCCCAGAAGTCTGCATATATCTCATAT